GTATATAGCTCTATTTTCTTTTGAATCCCAAGTTAGATAACTTTGTATGAAAATGTATACAGTATTACTGAAGTTGGCTATTCCGAGAATATACTTAAACACATTGTCAAATGGGCAGCATCTACATTTTTCTTATACAGTATTTCTGAATTTATCTATCATTATCAGACCCGAATACAGATCATGAAAAGTGTAGCGTTCTTCTATATTTTATATGTAATTAATAAAGATTACTACATATTAACCTGCCAGAAAATATACCAGAAACATGTCTTCAAAGTGTAGTATTCTTATATATTATTAAAGTTAGCTACTCCGAAAATATACCCGAAATATATCATTGAATAAACAAGTGTCAAATACTCAAACACATTCCATATTCTTATAGTAACTCTCACCCGAGGAACCACTTCTACCTCAGGATCTACTGTATTTAACCGTTTAAAATGAGTATTTAGGATCCGTGATATATCTTACAAAGGCAGTTGTGAAGATTACAAAATGCGTTTGAAAAAATTTGATCCACAGCAATATTATATCATAGAAAGAGTTTTTGTGTCGCCTAAAATGACATACAATAAATTTATATATGTAAAACAAGCCATAGGCGATTCTTCGAGCCTACTCGCAATATTGAGGAATAGACCCTTTTTGTCTCACTCAATAATTCAAAGAATAAAATCGACCAGAATGTTTTGGATAATACCCCGTAATGGATATGGTAGGTTTTCCACAAACATCGCAAGGGAATTTCTCCATATTTTTCTCATGTAAACTCCAATGCCTTTAACAACCTGTAGGGCGCCAGCAAACAGAATCATCCCTCTGAATATGAGGGCAAATAGCACGGTCCATGAAGTATTTTAGGATGTAATATATATGCATAAGATTCAAATATAAATCTCAATTTAAATACTTCGAATTTACAATGAAATAAAATACCTTTACTTATTAATACTTCGAATTTACAATGAGATAAAATATCTTTACTTATCAATACTACACTAAGTATATATATTGACAGTATACATCACGCTAAAAATGTATAAAAAGTACACTGAATGAGCCTGAACATAATAAAGAAACTATTATCGTTAAGGATTTATCCAAACTATCTGGACATTCGAGGAAAATAAAAATATACAATCCCAGAATGAATCTTATGATTGCAATCGATTAGCCAACATACAATAGATTGTTATGTACATTGGAAAGAGGAAAGACATTAATCTCGACAATTCGTGGGGAATAAATGTCTAGACCTGCACCTCCATCACCCAGAAGATTGGATGATGATTTCAGTAAATAAATTAAGAATAATAAAGGATCTTAAAAAAATGATTGACGTGTTCTATAGATGAGACCAAGTTTGAATCTAGTAAATTAGCAGAAAATAAACTCCCAAAGATAGTAAATTCGTCAGAGAAGAAACCACAGCTCCACTTGGATTGACTGTAATCCCTCTTAATTTTACTTCTAATGTGATAAACTACATTCGCCTTAGTAATTATGAATCCATCACAATTCTGACTGAAGTATTTGTAGAAAAAATACGACCCCAAGACGCCTAATTATATCCTGCTTGGTAATAATTGGTTCCATGGACGCAAATATGATAATAACGAGCTCCAGACATTTCTGTCAGAAATACGTAGTGACGGATGCAAAAAATGGCTGAGTTAGTTATTAGTTTGCTAGCCCAGAAATTTATTCATTAAAATTCATCTTCACAACCGATATGTTCATATCTTAATTGCACGATCCAGTCAAGTCTAATATCTCTCCTTCAGTCATCGAGGAAAGATGTTTACTGACTAAAAGGCCCAAAAATCCTGTCAAGCATCCTCCATAAAAATAAATTATATAGCAAATATTTATTAATAAGTTAATGTTTGGACAGAATATTATTCTTAGAATAAGAGAATGCTACCCTCCGTATAATTATTTTCCGATTCAACTTTGAGTTTCCATATTCTATAGCGTTGATGTCCACGTAAGGAAGTCGAAGTTATGGGTGTAGGCATTGGGTTTACCAACCGACTTCTCCAAAGGGAGAAGGGTTACACACACAAGGGCGTTCCTCCCAGTGGAGACCGTTTTCATGGTGTTGTGTTGTAAAAAATCAATTCCACACTCCCAAAGAAGATGCATTACCAACCGACTTCACCAAGAGGAAAAGGACTGCACACACAAGGGCGTTCCTCCAAGTGGAGACGGTTCTTGTGGGGTTGTAAACACCAATTCCATGCTCCCAATAAAAAGTCATTTTTTTCAGGGATCATGGTAACATAAATAAAAAACGAGTCATGTAAAATCGTAATTTTCTGTTATGGAACCAAAGACAGTGGGTATTTGAGTACTGTTAACACTGACTCAAAAAATTATCCTAATTTTATATTAAGCGCATAAGTTTGGTTTAATTAATATTTGAATATAAATGCATGTTAATATTAGGTAGCATATTTGTGAATATTTTTTCTAATGTTAATTTGATTTATATGTATTAAAAACTATATGAAAAACATAAATTTACAACCTTTCATTTTATTTTTCATATTATTTTACAATGCGACTTCTACCTAAGCAAAAATGTATTAATGTTATATCTTTACTTCATTAAGGATTATCTACAAGAAAAATTTCTTCAAGGCTCGAGATTGGTCATAATACTGTATCAATGATCCAGAAAGAAGTTTGTTCTTATAGTCAAAGCCATTAGAAGTTCATCCACATTCTTTAGATAAAAATTATGAATGTATCATTATATATTCTATTTGTTCTGATAGGAAAAACCGCTAAAGGTGTTCAAGAAAAACTTAAAAAGCAGTACAATATTAATATTTCTGCACAAATGGTCAGGATATATTTTAAAAATTATTAGTCTTTTACTAAGACTAAAAAACCTTTTCTTAAATCAAAAATATAAAAAAGCAGGATTGGAATTTGCTAATAGATTTAAAGATTGGACAGCTAATGATTAGAGGTATGTCATTTTCTCTGATAAAACTAAAATCATTCATTTTGGATCTTCAGACAGTAATGTCATTTGTTTTTAATCCGCGAATAAGATATCAGCCTAGAAGTTCCTGGAACATGTCAACAAAAGCCCATGATCTCGTATTTTCGCCATATAAGTTTCGAAATATAATCCAACGGGTAGTGGATCCTCTGTTTTCAACCCACTTCTGGCACGCGATAAATATGTAAAAAAGTAACGATTATAATTAGCGATTTTTAACAATGTATGTAACACAATTAAAAGGTTAACACAAACGTACTAGCCCATGTTAAATAATTACTTACCTATGTTTCCTCACCTCTTATCACAAGATCTTTCTGGTATCATGATTTGACTTTTTTTTTAGTTGGGAAAGTGCAATTCGTTTATTCAAATCTCGTGCATCACTGAGATCTTGCCGAGGAATCAAAGGAATAACCGTCCCACGTGCACCCATTTCAATACCCGCCTCAGGATCTTTATACAGTATATCGACGAAAAATCGCGCAGACAGTGGAAGAAGGTACTGTGAATAAAGTAAACGATACTGCGCCGGATCCTTCGAGTTATGGGAAATTTTCCATGAAGGAGAAGACGTGAGGAAAAAGCAATAAAACTGCTTAGGGCGAAGCAGAAAATAATCTGGAGTTGAGGAAAGCAAAGTTCACCACCCTCGAAATCAACCAATATCACCAGACAACACAAAGAATTTGGCTCGTCGTGTTCGTCCCAGTGATAATCACTTATTGTATTGAAATAATCGCGATCATCTGGAAGGCTCCAAATGGCTTTGGCTCAAATACCCCCACGATAACTTTTCTAATTTCCCATAATATTCTCGGACAAACTGATTAATAGAGGTTGACAACGGTTGCAAATCACGAAGTAATGTATCGATATATTCTTGATGCTCGACGATGTGGGCACTTGCGGTGTTGGTACTCGTGAAAGGTAAGAGGATATTTCGCGCGTATACACCGAAATGTTCGATGAAATTAGTCCAGAATTCATCGCTTCGATGGGAGGGATACTTTAAGGTAGCCTCAATGGCTTTTGCTATGACACTTGGATTGTTGAGATTCTCGAGATGTATTAAAGTCCGATATTCAGTATCAGTAATACATTCGGGCTTGATAATATACTGAAACTTATTAACCTTTTTAGCGAACTAAGGATTTTCTCGTGCAGAATAAAGAACCGGGTTTTTGTTTTTCGAGGATACGTTCATTTTCCATAATCAGAGAATTTTGTTGATTTACGGCCTCTAACTTCCATTGCATGTCCAAGTTTCTTCCTTTACGTCGGAGACGTTGGCGTACATCTCTTCTTATAAGTGGTTCTTTCATCCCCAACAATTTCCCGAAAAAAAGCCACAATTCTTCATTCAAATCATGCTTTCGGCGCATTACTTGGCTGATATACTGTAGTTTCCTTCAATTATCTAATCGACGATAAGTACTAGAAAATGGATAGAATCTCAGGCGTCCCGACAGAAATTGATAATTTCAATTCCCGAACTAATGTTCAATCAATAATTCTTCAACCAAAACCTTTTCACCAATTTATCTTTTTTTGACGATATACGATCCGACAGACAGATAGGGGAGCTTTTCCACTCTTGTTCGATGTATAAAATTTTATATTGTGTACATAAACCATGAGTTGCATATTGGGTCCGGTGCTAATAAAAATTATAATAATGAATTTAGGTAAAACTATTATTAGTAAAACTCGAAGTCAAGTTTATTATAACGGAGCTAGTGTCTTTGACGCAGTACGTCATACAAACGTAAAATTATGTCATGGGAAGAACCGATAGTATACAGGATAAGTGCGTGCCTTCTAGAAATTGGGAATTGATTTTTTTTTTATATATATACTATAAATGGCCTGACGGCACTTGATTACTATGAAAAATCATTTTCGTAAAATTATGTCATGAAATGTCATGTTTTTATATATAAGTCAGTACGTCATGACTTGAATGAACCCTTGAATCATCATGGATTTTTTTTCCGAAAAAGAAAAGGTTACCGAGTGCATTAATAAAAATCGTCGAAAGGTACTCGTTACCGGCGGAGCGGGCTTTATAGTATGCATAACATTACTATTGAGACATCTGGAAATACTGTAATCGTCGTACTTTAATTTTCGTTATTCGATAAATTAGGGAAGTCATGTCGCAAAACGTCTCCATGATCGTGGCGATTACGTTCGCATAATTGACATCCAACCAATTTCAGCAGAATTGGAAAGTTATTTCACTGAATACATTTTTGGAGATTTAAGAGATCTGAACGTATGCCGCAATGCTATAAGAGATATACAATGGGTGTTTCATTTCGCGGCAAACGGGGCAGACAGCTTCGCCACTTACATTGCTAATCACATGATGACCGTGAACATCACGCAAGCTGCTATTGAAAGAGGAGTAGAGCGATTCTTTTATGCATCCTCCGATCATGTCTCGATAGTTGATAACAACGGTTCTGACCTAAAACGAAAAGATTCGGAAGAACACAAGGATCATCCGAGAAACCTTTACTATTGCGAGAAGTTAAACGGAGAGACTTTTTTGACCGAATTAGTAAAAATCTACAGTCCAAACGGTGAAAAATACCCGATGCAGATCAGGATTGGAAGACTTTGTGATATATTTGGCGAAGGTAACGATTGGATCGGAGGAAGGAAGTATTTTCCTGCTTCATTGATTCGTGAAGCTATCCATTCTGTCGAGGAAGGCAATTATGAAATCGAAGTTGGAGATCATGGAAACCAACCACACGGTTTTTTGTATATTGAGGATTGTGTCGACGCCATTATAAGGCTAATGGAGAGTGACTATTCCGAACCATTGAATATTGAACCAGTGGAAACTCTCACAATAAAAGAGTTGGCAGAAATTGCGTTTGAAACTGCAAGATTTCATCGCAGCGATATAAGGATGAATGTGAATGAAAAAAGGTTGGCATGTGTGCAAAGCAGTACCTCGGAAAATGAATTGATTAGAAAAGTTCTCGGTTGGTCTCCCCGGACTTCGATTAGAAAAGGCATGGAGAGAACTTCAACATGGGTGCAAGATGAAATTAAAAAAGAATACGAGAGACACAAAAAATATTCAACGAAAAGTGCATTCATTAGAGAATTAAGAAAAAATGAGAGAAAAATGTTGGAGGAAATAAAATTTGGAATATTGCTCCCAATTACATCCCGTGGATTGAAAAATCCAGAGGATTGTCTCTCTCATCTTCGTAACTTCGCCCGGAGTTTGCATGACACGACGCAAGCCGATACCGCGAGAATGAACGGGAATAGGTTTACGATCAAGGTTTTTGTTGGAGTCGATGTAAATGATGACCTTTTTCATCCTATTAAGAATAACATCGCCGAACAGATTCTCAAGGAACACGGAGTAATGGACATAGAAACACGAGAGTTTGATTTACCCCCAGGGTGGGTCTGCAAGATTTGGAATGATTTGGCAATGGATGCATATGGTCAACAATGCGATTATATAGTGCTTTTTGGTGATGATATCGTACTTGAAAGTACCAATTGGATGTCGAAGATACACGGCGGTTTCATGAAAGTCTCGAATGAGAAAAAAGTGCCACGCGGATTTGGATGTATTGCTTTTACCGAAGCAACGTTCCCGGGATTTCCCACCTTTCCAGTAATGTCGAGACTTCATGTTGATATGTTTCATGGCAGGCCATTTCCTGAAATACTTACAAATCAGGACGCGGATATATTTTTATTTCAATTATATCGTCGTTGGGGATGTTCAGTTATGCTGAACAATGTAAAGCTCCGGAATCTAATTGGCGGGAGCAAGAAAGGACGTTATGAAAGAGTCTTCCATGATTGGAGCTATTCAGTGTTGGATGACGCAGTTCTTAAGGTTGAAGAGTGGATGCGAGAAAATCTCAAAAATCCGATTCCCAGGCTGGTTACTTTGGATGTTGTTGTCCCTTCTTATCGAGTTAATATGCAATATCTGGAACCTATAATAAATCTCAAAAAACCCGACACCATCTCGACCATGACAATCATCATCGTGGATAATCCCACCTCTCCGCGAATTGTAAATCTCAAGTCATACGAGTACAATGCTTTTTTTCGTTTTCGTCAAAATAAAGACAATATTGGAGTAAGTGAGTCGCGTAATCGAGGAATCGCAGAATCCAGCGCAGATTATATTTTATTCCTTGATGACGACGTATTGCCTGATGACGATATATTGATAGAAGCTGAAAAGGTTATTCGCAAATTCCCATCGGCATGTGGATTTGTTTGCTATGTTAATTTTCCAGACCCCGAAAAGAGCATCTTCAAAAATGCTGTAGAAATGTCAGATCTGATGTACTTTTGGAAAATTGCGAAAGAAGTTGATGAGGATGTTCCTTGGGGAGTGGGTGCTAACCTCATTGTCCGTCGTTATAAGGATGATATTAAATTTGATTCCAGTTTTCCGAAAAGTGGAGGTGGGGAAGATGTCGACTATTGCATAAGAAAGAAACAGTTCTTCGCCAAAAATGTTCCCAATGGAGAAGGATTTCACGGTGCTCCTATGGTACGAGTCACACATTTATGGTGGAATAATGGAAAGAGGTCTTATTTTCGAATTGCGAACTGGGCTTACGGGGATGGACTATTGATTAAGAAATACCCGGAGTATGCATACAGAGATAGTGTACCTAATAGCGTAGAACTTATGATGCTTCTGTTATTGATTTTGATCCTCATCCTACCAGTAACATTAATATTCAATGATCGCACATGGAATACCGTTACGTTGGTCATCTTTATTTCTATACCATTAGTCATTGCTGCGAATATGTTAGTCGACATTGATCGTCATGTCAGGCGAGAACCAGAGAGGCATGTTCCTAAACTACGAGGGAATCGTCGAGTCCTCGCCGCCGCGGAATCCTCAATCATAAGAATGATAAGTGAAGGCGGTAGATTGTTTGGGCAAATTAAGAGAAAAGAATGGAAGTATGTGTTTTGTAGATTTGATTGGTTCACGAATCGATTTGGCGATGAGACACGAAATACTGAGAAACTGAATTCAAGAGAAAAATTTCGAGCATGGATTATGTTGGTTTTAGTGATGTCGATTTTTGCCTTGCATCTTTGATGCTACAGAAAAATAATGCATACATACAGTATATCATAATTAGAGAAGTCTAGCAATTAAATAATGAATGATCTTAAACAACTGTTGCAATATATTTTAAATCAATTACACTGTGCTGTATTATGCCAAGAAAAGAAATTTAATGAATTAAAAAAAAAAAAATTTTTTTATATTTGCGAGATGACCATGAATCAATTATATATAAAATAAAATTTCTAAAGTAAAAAAAAAAAAGATTTATGCACCTGTGGATTCATTCTGAAAAAAAAAAATATTTGTCATTCACAATGGAGGAAAAAAAAATAATCAAATTATTTAAAAAACCAATACTGTATTTGATAACTCGTAAAACAGATTAATATATATATATACAGTATGGTCAAAAAATTTTGGAATTTTTTATTTATTCATTACTCAAAAACTACTGCAAGCTAAAAATCTAGAGATTTTATTAATATATAATTAATAATTAATTCTTTCACCATTATTTTCAATTATTAATTCACATC